TTCCAACCCAATCATTCTATGATAACACAACTGTGACACACAGTATTGTACAGGTTACCTTCACTGAACTTTCTCCCATTTCAAGAGGAACTGTTTAAGAATAAAAAGGTATTGTTTAGAAATGAGTTCTACTTGTTGCAGTTGCCTGTTTTTGAGACTGAAAGACACTAACCGGTCCCCATTGTGGTTTTGTGCTAACCTCTTTCCCAACCATGCAATGCCTTTTCAAAACTTTTTTTTTCTTTCCTGTGTGTAAGTTGCTTTACTCACACTATCTTTTCAATTGTAGAATACAGGACTGTGCACAAGCAGAGGTTTTGGGGCTTTGGTCTCTTCTCTGTAGCAGAAGCCAAGCTCTTGACCTGAAATTTGCCACTGTTGTGTGATTTTGGAAGAATGTTGAATGGGCAGGATCTTGTCATTAACAGCTTACTCCTTATTACAGTTGAAGGTGGTTCTTGGAGGAGTTTAGAACAGTCTATTGTTCAGAGCCTACTCCAGTGAAGCCTCATTGGAAGAATATAATTAATCTTTGTTATTTCTGGGATTTAAATAAGTCCTTCTTTGGGGGACAGCGCATCAGGCAGATCATAGTGGGTGAGAAGTGGCGTGTACATTGCACTGATTAGGTTGTTTCTTCAGGGTGCTGAATTTGGTATGTGCTTGGGCTGAAGTTAACTGGGTGTTAGGAGCTGTGAAAGTGGTGTGTGCAGTTCATAAATGTTGAGATATAGTAAAAAAAATCAAGTTCAAATATTCAAGCCATGCTTTTGCAAATTTACAAGCAAGATGTTTTACTAAGGATAGCTCTAGATTTCTTAACTCTTGAACCTTCCTTAAGTCAAATAAGTAGTAAGCTTCCATCATATGTGCTGGTCCCAAAATAAACTTGGCTGGTTTTCATTAAACATGAAACAAAACATGTGTTAAGGGGGAGTTAGATGTTGGATGCTTTTCCTTATACTAAGATTTTCTAGTTACCTTCTTGCATTGCTGAAGTCTGTTGCTTGGAACTGTTTGCCCCTCTTATGGTTTCTGCTCACTTATCTCTTCAGAGGAGGTTAGTGGCCACCTGGTCAGGTAACTCTTTAAAGCAGAGTCTCCTTTAACTGTTCATGTATAATTACTTTTAATGAGAGTCAGAAGCTGGCTCTGACTGGGATATGTATTTTTTCAGCTTCCCATGAAGTTGTTGTTTTGGGTGAACAGAGGAGAAGTTACACCAAACCTTCTCGTGTACTAATGGCAAAAGTTAAAAGTTATTTTTAATGCTTGCCTTCCCACCCTCTGGAAATGAATGAGGGAGGTGTTACAAACACCACAGTGTTAGGTGGATACTATTCAAATCTTTTTGTACCCTGTCATGGTATTTCCTAGTCCTGTACCATTTCCTAATGGGTGGTGCAATAGATTTCATATAAGTATTTCTTCCGAATTGTTTAATGTCAATTCGAAAGCCAACCATTATGTAGTCTAGCAAAGAACTGTCCACTGTCCCACACGACATCCTTGTCTCTAAATTGGAGCGACATCAATTTGATGGATGGACCACTCCGTGGATAAAGAACTGGCTGGATGGCCGCACACAAAGAGTTGTGGTCAATGGCTCAATGTCCAGCTAGAGACCCAGTAACGAGTGGTGTCCCTCAGGGATCGGTGTTGGCACCGGTCTTGTTCAACATCGTCGTCGCTGACATGGACAGTGGGATTGAGTGCGCCCTCAGCAAGTTTGCTGATGACACCAAGCTGTGTGGTTCAGTTGATAGGCTGGAGGGAAGGAATGCCATCCAGAGGGACCTTGACACACTTGTGAGGTGGGCTGATGCCAACCTCATGAAGTTTAACCATGCCAAGTGCAAGGTCCTACACCTGGGTCGGAGCAATCCCAGGCACAGCTACAGGTTGGGCAGAGAAGAGATTCAGAGCAGCCCTGTGGAGAAGGACTTGGGGGTGTTGGTTGATGAGAAAATGAACATGAGCCGGCTTCAGTGTGCGCTTGCAGCCCAGAAAGCCAACTGTATCCTGGGCCGCATCCAAAGCAGCGTGACCAGCAGGTCGAAGGAGGTGATCCTGCCCCTCTGCTCTGCTCTTGTGAGACCTCACTTGGAGTATTGTGTGCAGTTCTGGTGTCCTCAACATAAAAAGGACATGGAACTGTTGGAACAAGTCCCGAGGAGGCCATGAGGATGATCAGGGGACTGGAGCACCTCCCGTATGAAGACAGGCTGAGGAAGCTGGGGCTGTTCAGCCTGGAGAAGAGAAGGCTGCGTGGAGACCTCATAGCAGCCTTCCAGTATCTGAAGGGGGCCTATAGGGATGCTGGAGAGGGACTCTTCATTAGGGACTGTAGTGACAGGACAAGGGGTAACGGGTTAAAACTTAAACAGGGGAAGTTTAGGTTGGATATAAGAAGGAAATTTTTTCTTGTTAGGGTGGTGATGCACTGGAATGGGTTGCCCAGGGAGGTTGTGAATGCTCCATCCCTGGCAGTGTTCAAGACCAGGTTGGATGAGGCCTTGGGTGATATGGTTTAGTGTGAGGTTCCAACACGGCAGGGGTGTTGGAACTTGCTGATCTTAAGGTCCTTTCCAACCCTAACGATTCTGTGATTCTAAATGTGAAGCATTGCATGCAAAATGCAATGGCCAAGACAAAATTAGTTGTATGTGGAGAAGACTGAATTGCAGGGGAGGCTGCTGAGGAGGTCAGTATTCAAGTAGGGAATAGGTTAATCAGTTGGGGAGGAGATGAAAACATGAGGAGCTGTTTTTAGAAGATACATAATAAGTATATAAGCAACTATGATGCAAGAGGATTATTTTAAAATAAAGCAAGAAGAGAAATGCTGAAGGTGATAGTCTTCAAAGGCACATGGTTTCAGGAAATTGCTGGTGTGGTACTACAAGGTGGGGTTGTGATGCCAGAAGGGAAGAAAGACCAGAGGTGGCCATAGCAAACATTAAAATGGTGACCGCAGTGTAGGGGGGCTGCATTTATCAGCGATAATCTCCACTTTGATGTGTTATGACTTACTGGCATGATAGGAATTTGAGGTCACATTTTCATATTATAAGCTTGCTTTAAATTCTTCATTTTAGAATGAAGAATTTAAAGAATGAAAACACCTTGGGCTCAAACTACAACAGTAAGAACCCTCACCATAGCAGTTACATTACTGCTACCCTTGGGTCAGCAGTCTAGAAATGCTTTGGAGCAAACTACACTGCTTTGCTCTCTCCTGTGTGACCGATGGGGACTGTTGGATCAGTATAAGGCACTTTCTGCACCAGCTAAATGATGGATACCCTGAGGCTTGAACGAGGATAGAGCCCAGTGAAAATGCACACTGCTTCCTATGCAACAAAACCATATCGGTGTAACTGTTGTGTTGACAGGACAGAAACTTCGCAGTAGTGTTGTGCAGATTGGGTCTATTACAACACGCTCACACATTTAGCAGTGGGTTAGGATACCGTTGTGATAACGTCATATGTGTGCTAACCACAGAGGCAGTCTTCAGCTAACTTCTTGTTTGAAGCGCTGTGAAATCCACAGTACCCAGACTTGAGAACAAAGGAGAAGAGATCTGGAAAATAATGACAACTGAAAAGGAAAAGAAAGGTTTTGATATAGCCCCCATGGTTGTGTTCTGCAGGCATTACAGCAGAAGTCTGTAGGACAGCAAGATGTCTTTGCATGTGCTTATGTGAAGCCCTCCCACATATATGGGATGGCATGTAAGAAAACATGAAGGAGCGTTCTGCATTTTCAGAGAGCACTGTGAGCTGATTGCAGGTGGGGAATCGGCAAATCCATGCTGAGTAAGAAATAGGTACATTGAGATGTGGAAGGCCAAGCTTCTCTGTGAAGGAGCAGAGAGGATCGGGAGAGGGTATAGATCAGGTCAGTAAAGGGATCTTCACATCGGCTTCTGAATGAATGTGAGCAGGTTGTCAAGCACTGCCATATCCATTTCTCTGTGGTTAGAACATAAGATGGGGGTAGGTAAAATGTGCATGTTGGTATCTTTTTGGCTAATATCTATGATCTAGTTTAGGTAGAAGAAAATGGAGATAAAGCATTGTAGTCACACAGAGTTGATGATAAGATTCAAGAAATGTAGTCAAAATGTGTATTTGCACAGAAGGCAGAACATTAACCATCAGTACTGTAAAAGCTTAATATCTTCTTTGAGCTGGTCTGAATCTTACCTGGAAGTACCAAGGGAATGTTCTTATTTCTTTTCAAGAAAACCTCAAACTGGCTAGCATTAGCTTTGGGTCTTTATTGAGCAAGTGCTCTGTCTGGGTAGGCTGTGATGGGTTGAGGTAGGTTGTGATGGGTTGGGTAGGCCAGAGGTGTCTGGAAATGTTACTAATGAGAAGCTGTAGAAAATCCTAATATGAACTGTTTCTCAGAGTAGAAGCATGACAAAAAATTGTACTTCAAGAGACTGTTCTCATTAAGAATTATATTTCCTGAAGGAATTCCACATAGTTAAACATGAAAGGTCACATTGCACACCTCAAACTGGTATGATAGGCTATATCGAATTGTCACACACCTTCCGTCCATCTGCAAATCCAGAAGTTTCTTAAAGCTCTGAATCAGATATTTTTATGGCCAATGTCTTGCTTTGTTGTTGTTTTCTTTAAACTTAATCCCTATCTGGCTCTGCTTCTTGTTAGCTGGTTGAACCAAACATTCTAAATGGCAATATACCATTTTACTAAAAACTAGCATGAAGGAAGACAACTGTGGATGCTTTATCAAGGCCATACCATAAATTTCTAAGTGAACTTGTGTTTTTTTGTGACCTGGTAGTTCTTCTAAGCAATTCAATCTTAATTGTGGGTTTATATGTATGTTTTAAAAATTATTTCAGGCATAACCAAAATATAGAAAACACAAGGCATTGTACTGTATCAGGGGGTAGGTTTGTGTAACTGAGGGATTTGAGTCTTTTCTCTTACATTTAATTTTATCCTTCTTTTTTACAGGAAATAATGAACAAAGTGTGCCACAACTCTTGATCAGAGACCTGAAATTTGAGAAGAAGTCATTAGCTAAGCTCATGTTTTCTCCTGATCAAGAAAATCATCCATCAAAAGCACCAGTGAAATATGGTGAATTGATCGTATTAGGGTAAGTGTGTCTTGGTTGGAAGTGAGAATGAAGGTAGGATTTCAGGGTGCACTTCCAGCAGGTAAAATGCAGGTTGCTGTGAGATGGTCCCACAACCTACCACTTGAACTCCCTCTTTTGCAGTATATCTAGTGAGCATGCAACTGAATAGTGAAGCTGATTAGCTTTTCTTCAGTAGCTGAACTCATGTAAGGAGGAGAGTAGAAGGAAGGCTGCCTTTTTCAGTGGCAGCCAGGCGTTATACACTGCAAAATTGCATTGCAGTGGGCATGCTGTTTTGTGACAGTGTGAACATGCAGGTAGGACCTGAGTAGATGCAAGGTGATTTTCAGGTCTTGTGTTCATTGCACATAAGTGTTTTTGTGAGAAAGGCAGCCAATTTTTGAAGGGTTTCCCAGCTGGTTCAAGGCTAGGCTGAAACAGATGACTAATGTGATTATGTGGAAGGAGAGGTTTCCTAGGACTTAAAGTAAAATAAAAAAGAGTTTTATTTATATTCCTAAAAACTGTAGCAGCTGACTAGAATATCCACGTTCAAACAGAAGATGTTAATAAAGCAAGCTTGCCAGCTGGCCTGTTTATGTTGACATGTTCAAAGTGAGGCTCTGAGGCTTTTCTAATGGATTAAATTGGAGCCTCAGAGGACAGCGCATCTATTTCTTATGGGTCTTTATTTCAATCAAAATTTTCTAAAATACTAGCTGTCCACCAGGGTTGGTGAGTATGGAGAATCTTTCATTTACAGCATGATGCCATTTAGAGAGAAAGCAGCAGATAGGCATATAACCGTACTTGTTCTCATGTTTGGGACCAGAGTCTTTCACATGTCAATAGTAGCTCTGAGATTGATCTGGGTAGCATTCCTTGCCCTACAAGCTTTGTGTGTACATGCTGTAATCCTTTGGGCATGTTTCAATATTGTGTTTATCAATTCTCAGATTTAAATGTGACTGATGGGAAATCTATAATTATTAATATCATACTAATTAATTGTCTTAGAATGAAAGTTCTCATCTATATCTCATGGGAATCTAAGTAACACAGGAAGATGGACTTTGTTCTTTTTCTGTGCTTTTTTTGATAGGTACAATGGGTCTCTCCCAAATGGAGATAGAGGAAGAAGAAAAAGTAGGTTTGCTTTGTTTAAAAGGCCCAAGGCAAATGGGGTGAAACCTAGCACTGTGCATATTGCCTGCACCCCTCAAGCAGCAAAGGTAAGCTCAATTTGTCTAGTTAAATATCATTTCTCCTGGTGCTGTCTGAGTTGAGTGAAGTCAGTGCTGTTATGCTGAGATGAAGTGGTATAAAAAGCATGAAGCTCTGGCTGTGAAAAGTATAGTTTGTGTTTATCCAAGGTTTTCTTGGTACCCATCAGGGCTAGCAAGGAACTGTTCAGCAAAACAAAACTAATGCCCAATCCTTGCTGTGTCCAGAAAGAAAAATGTTTATTTTTGAAACACGAATGTTCAGGGCACAGGCCAGTCATGTAAAACACTTTCTGTTTTGTTTTCCTTCCAAACTCACTGCAGACATCTGGTCTAGACTTCCTGTTTTCGCTCTCCCTCATGCTTTAGGGCTAACTTCACCTCACGTGAAGCTCACTTTTAAATGATCCTTTGCCAAAGCTCTGTGTGCGCTTGCTACTCCATCCAACAGTTTGTTCCCCAGGGATGAGGACAGGTGGTTTTTGCAGGCCATGGTTTATAGTGCTTGTAATCAGTTTCAGAGTTCCCCTTATGAAGCAGGAAAGGAAGGGCTTAGGTCCTGAAGTTGAATTGTATTTCATGTCAAAACTAATATATTATAGCTGAAGTATTACCATGAAATACTTCTGTGTTGTGGTGATTCAAGTGTATGTGCAATCATGTTCAACAGCAAATGGAACATTTCTACTAAAACCAATGGAATTTCAGAATGCTTAGTGGTTGTTTAGAGATCACCAGTGTCAGGGCCCTTAACCAAATACAGTAGTGTTAAGTTTGACTCCCTAAATACCTTGACACTTAAAAATATTATTGATCCCTAAATTCGGGGAATGGCATAAAGTACTCTGAAATCAAAAGCATTTTTCTAACCAAAATTCTTGTAATAGAGTTAAATCTATAGATCTGTGAGAAGAACATTTATTTTTACTAACTCTTTATGGCCTTCAAGTAAGTGGTATTTAGAAGCACTTGTAGAAGAGTGTTTGCTCAGTTCCCAGGGGGTAGTTGCAGAATGAAAATCTCAACTAACTGTAAACTAGATTACTTTGCTGCAACTTCTGCACCCTATGCTGAGTTTCTCCATTTTACCTGGCTTACCACTACTACTTGTTATGTTTTTTGTCTATATATCTTGTTATTAATAACTGATTTTGGTATGAACTCAGATCCTGATTTTAGAGTGAAGTCCCTCAAGTTCTTTTGTCCTCACTTGCTTTTGAAATTCAGGCTGGGGAGGCCATGATACACGGTTTTAGCCTTCGCACTCAGTTGTTTGTTATTTTGTGTTAAGGCCAGTGTTGCTTTAACATGAAGCATGACTAATAATATGTCTCAGTTAGGTGTATTTTGTTGCAGCATGTGGTGAAGAGACCAGTTTGGTCTGTTGCTGAACCAATCCTGCACCTTTTTTTTAATGGCCAGGACTGGCTTTTGTGGAGTTTAACTACAGGTGTGTCATAACGACCATCTGTCTTAATGCATTAATTGAGGAGAACAGGAGCTTGGTTATATATATATAGTCTGCTTTGCTGTTGTATTCAGTAAGGTTATTGTTCGCTGGTTCAATAATATTTGGTACTTTTTCCACAGGCAATAAGTAATAAGGACCAACACAGCATATCTTACACTTTGTCTCGGGCCCAGACAGTAGTAGTTGAATATACACATGACAGCAACACAGATATGTTCCAGGTATGTAAAGGAAGTATATATAAAAGCATTCTCACTTTTGGTGGTTTCTAACGAGACATCCTCTCTGCATGCCTTCTCCCTCAGACCCCAAAGTTTGCATGTGTCACTTTCTGCACTTTACTATTCAGAGATACCTCACTCTGTTCATTCCCAGGCCATCACATGAACAAGGCTGTATATCTGAGCATCTCTTTTAGGCTTGATCAGAGGTGAAAGTTGGGGTTTTTTTGTGACTAACGCATGAGATTATGGTTCTGCCTTTGATTGCCAATCTACAAGTCGCATAACCTGTCTCCTAGTGCCTCTTTGCAACATGAAGAATAAAGAGCACAATTCTCTTCAAGCACTTGGAACTTTGCTTCTGGCATTTACGGAGGGATTTGGGATTAGCCAGCTGGAGACAGGGTAGAAGAAATACAGTGTGAAAAGACAGGAAAGCTTTTGACACAACTAATATGAAAAGTACCCCTAACTCCTTTAAGCACACCCAGAAATAAGTCTCACGTGCTGGGAAATGTGGCGAGAGGAGGCCCAGTTCTGATGTGCTGGCAGTTCATAGCAACTTTGCTGCAGTTCCTGTATGTATGAGAAGGAACCACAAACACATCTGCAGCTGTGGTGCACGCTCATATCTTATAATTGTTTCCTGTTTTTCTCAAAAGGAAGGGTTTTGTTTTAGGGTTTCTTTGTGTGAGCTTTGTTCCCTCTGATTCCCAGACTATCTTGCATTGATTTTCTTGTTGTTGTCACTAAATTATGGTAAGGAGTTTTGCTGTCACAGCATTTAGCTGTGACACCACTGCAGGATCTAAGGAGATGGGAGGTGTTGGAAAGTGGTGGAGGAAGCTGCTCTGCAACTCCAAGAACCTACAACAGAGCAAAAGGGCTGTAATGACCTAAGTGCAGCATAAGCTATTGTTTGTGTGAGCGTTGTCTCTTCAGGCATGCTGTGGCATGTATGCTGCTCTAAAATTGCCAGTGGCAGTCCCTGTGTTACTGATGGGTTATCCTGACTAAGGAGCAATAGAAAAATACATTCTGACAAAGCAGTTTCAGTCTCATGAAAACTCTCCAGCCTTCTCCAAAAAGCACCTCAGGCTTTTGGGTCTCCTGCCCAGCAGTTAATCAGTCTTAATGTGACCAGCTATTTTAGAAGAGGCTGAGAGCTCTGGAAGTGCGAGAAATGTCACAGTGGGCTTTAAACCTGGCTATGTTGATGTTTGGGAGAGGGATGTAACTTCTCTTTCTACGTTATAAGGAAAAGGACAACATGAGTTGACTGGAACAGCAATGAAACCCATGTGGTTCTATCAAACCCAGGCCAGTTGTGTGGGACTGCGAAAGTCATTCTTCCATGCAGTCAGAAAAGAGGGTACAGCTACTAGAAAAAACGTGGTTGTAGTCAGATGTTGTGTTCTTATTGTATTCTGTGCATATTAATGTAACCCCTTCCCATCACAAACATCTTGGACCTGGTCTTTCCTGACAGATTTGCTGCTCCTTAGTGCCCCACCAGAGCTGGAGAGTCAGCTCATGTAATCTAATTTTCCTGCATCCACACCTCATAGTCTGGCGTTGTTCAGAGTGTTCTGGGCATTCTGAGTGACTGAGTATAACACCTCTTTTCATCTAACTGCTCTTTCCTAGCTGTTTTGGTACTGCTGCTGCAGCTGCTCCAGCTGACCTGAGTGTAACCTTTCTGATGAGAAGGCCTTCAATGGGAGGTTGTCTCAGAATTGACTTAATTACATCATTTTATTTCCCCTTCCTTCAGTTGGCTGTACTCGGCCTTCAAAATAGTTTTGGTCACATGGAGGTGGAATAACACTTAGATTCAGATTAGGCTTTAGAAACCTGAATTAAGATTGGTGGAGGGGAATCCTTTAAACTTGCATTTTTTTTTTCTTGGTCACTTTTAAAAGTTTTGAGCTTGAATATTCCTAGACTTAAAAGCAAACTTCTAAACATTTTGGTTTGTTTATGTTTGGTTTCTTTAATTCCTTTCCAGATTGGTCGCTCAACGGAAAGCCCTATAGACTTTGTAGTGACAGATACGGTTCCTGGGAGTCAGAGTAACTCAGATACGCAGTCTGTGCAGAGCACTATATCAAGGTTTGCCTGCAGAATCATCTGTGAACGTAACCCTCCTTTTACAGCAAGGATATATGCTGCAGGATTTGACTCCTCAAAAAACATCTTTCTTGGGGTAAGGGAATGCTCTTTTTACCCCTGTGTTCAGTGCAGGCTTGTTTTTAAACTAATTCGTAGCTCCACTTCAGCCAAATTAAAAGTTTTCATTGATGTAATTTCTCCTAGGAGAAAGCTGCGAAGTGGAAGACATCAGATGGGCAAATGGATGGACTAACCACAAATGGAGTTCTTGTTATGCATCCTCGTAATGGATTTACAGAAGACTCCAAGCCAGGGGTATGGAGAGAGATATCTGTGTGTGGGAATGTGTTCAGCCTCCGTGAAACCAGATCAGCTCAGCAGAGGGGAAAAATGGTAAGAGTGGTGTTTTGTGCAAGCCCTGTTCAAAATGGGTACAACCATAAGGGGTAAAGCCTGGGATCTGCCTCATTCATTGTAGATGTCACCTCTGTAATTACACTGACTTCTTACATGAAGGTGTCTTGCTCAACCTGAATAACTGATGTTTTATCTGCAAGCTAGTACTTAATTGCAGATCTCTCCTGAACTCTAGACTGCTCTCCTAAGTTGAGTTGCCAGTCTACTGTGCTCTTTGCAATCTGTCATAGTCATGTATATGTTTAAAGAATATTTTCCTGATTCTCCCTCTTGAGTTCATGCTTTTAAGGTTTCCCACTTTTTATAGAATAATAAAGAATAATCACAATTTTATTGACATGTGCCTATATACCTGGATACCCCTTTCCACCTTGGCATTCCAAGTGTTCCCCTTGTTACAAAAGCATTGCCAGCATTACCAGGAGATAATTGGTTGGATTTGGGATCTGTTAGCAAAAAGAAATACTACATGAACACTTAAGTGGAAATGCTAACAGATGACCTTTTTCTGGAGAAGAGGAAGGCTAAGAACAGTCTAAAATGTGATGGAGGACTAAAGACTTGTGCTATTCCTCCTTGATGCGTTTCAGGTAGCATAGTTGGGACTGCTGTAGGGATGGAGTTGGGAAACGTTAAGGTTTGAGAGCAGCTTTTCTTGCCTTACTTTTTTAAGGTACACATTAATCTGTTCTTAAGAAGCTTTGGTTTGTTGTCTTTTCAAAAGAGGGCAGAGGGAAGCTGCCACTGGGCTCTTCTATGGGCATCTTGTACAGGACAGTCAAGAGCTGCTTGAAACTTTTTGTCTGGCAGATTCGTATTATGGAAGTGCCTTATGTCACTCCTCAGGTAACACCTCTCCTTCTCTTTGTCCATCACAAGGTTGAGAATGAAACGAACCAGCTCCAGGATGGCTCTCTGATTGACCTGTGTGGAGCAACACTGCTGTGGCGCACTGCAGAAGGGCTTTCACGCACTCCTACTGTCAAGCACCTGGAGGCCCTAAGACAGGAAATAAATGCAGCCAGGCCCCAGTGTCCTGTGGGGTTTAACACCTTGGCTTTTCCCAGCATGAAGAGAAAAGATGTAGTAGATGAAAAGCAGCCGTGGGTGTACCTGAACTGTGGCCACGTCCACGGCTATCACAACTGGGGAAACAAAGAGGAGAGAGATGGCAAGGATCGTGAGTGCCCCATGTGCCGCTCAGTGGGCCCCTACGTGCCTCTGTGGCTTGGATGTGAGGCGGGTTTTTATGTGGATGCAGGACCTCCAACTCATGCGTTCAGCCCGTGTGGACACGTGTGCTCAGAAAAGACAACTGCATATTGGTCCCAAATTCCTCTTCCTCACGGTACTCACACTTTTCACGCAGCCTGTCCATTCTGTGCACATCAGCTGGCTGGTGAGCAAGGCTACATCAGACTCATTTTCCAAGGACCTCTTGACTAACACACGTGTTTCCAAGGACTGCAGTAAACTTGATAAGCTAAGAGATCCCGATTTTTAAACCAACTGTTTTTCATATTCTCTGGGCTTTGCTGGTTTGCATTAAGATGAAGAATTTGGGGTTGTTTTGTTTTGTTTTTTTTTTGTTACAGTGGCTAAATCCCTCTCTATTGAGAAAAGTCTGGAAATGGAAGAAATGGGGGGGGGGAGAAGAAGAGGGAAATCTTCTTTTTTGAGTTAATAACTACTTCTGAAGAGGTCAAAGGAGTGTTGTAGAGTGAACTTCAATGCCTTCCGTTTAATGATTTTGAATCACATGCCCACAGTATTTGAAAGTTGTTTCATTCTTTTTGTATATGGAGGGTAAATAGTTCAAAGAACATTAGTTTACAGCTTGGATGCAAACGTTGTAAAATATAACGTGTATATTAACTCTTTTCTATTTATCTTTATTACTGCAAATACGTAGAATGTTTAGAGAGTAGCATGGCCATAGTGTGTTACATCCGGCAATTGGATGTGTAGTGTAGATCTGGATGGAGAAGAACATGAGATGGAAATGGTAGAAAAATCTTTTAATCTAAAATACTGAGTTCTTAGAGTAGTTAAAATGCTTTTTAAACAAAGCTAATGCAAATGATGATGGCAAAAAGGTGTGCTTTAACCACGTTGAAAGGTAGTTAAGGAGGACTTCTTGAAATGTCTTTTTGGTAGGTAGGGCTGTACTTAAGATCTGGTTAGGAGGAGAAGTATTTATCAGACTCTTTGAATATGCAACTTAGTCTAGATTAAGGATTTTTTTTCTCCCTTCATGCTAACACATCTCTTTATTTAGCATTAGTGACGTTCGTGAGGGGTTTTCCAATGTTAAACGTGAACAAACCTGAAAGATGAAGCTCATTTTGTTCCTTGCTGTTTGGGGCAGGGGGTGAAGGGAGAGGTGGATGCACATGTGCATGCGTAGGGGGATCAGGGAGCAATTTGTCAATCAGCCACAGTCCTAGCTTGTGACAGGCTTGTCAGTTGGATACGGGAGCCACGGGCTTCATGTGCTTGCCTTTACCTTGTTGTGAGGTGCAAATACTCATCTCGGCCACACATGGAACAAAGTTGAAGCCTGGTACCCAAGGGATGCGTGCCTGCATCCTTGCGCATCTTGTCTCAGTTGGCAGTCTGTTAGGGGAGAGCTTGAGCTGGGACTGGACTGGACTCACAGACCTCAGTGTGTGATGCTTTGGTAAGGTCCACTCACACTGCAGTGGGCTCTAGTATCTCTCTGCTCTCCCTACCCATCCTTTCCCTCTTTATCCACCAGAGACGGCCAGTGCACTACATCCAGCTTTGCTGCTAACCGACCGTGCTTCATGGCAAATACACAACCTGACCTTTCTAGGATTGAGTTGAGCTTTTTTTATGGCCAGCTTCACACTTTGTTCTTTTCTCAACATACGTACTGTATAATTGGAAGTAGCAAATTTCTGTACTTTATAACGTAGCTTTAAGTTTTCCTTTCGAAGCTGTTCTAAAGTTTTCTTGGTTTAAAGAGAGACCTATGTTGCTTAGATGTCAGGAATTATTTACTTTGACTGTCAATTGTTTCTCCATTTCTAAAAGGAAATTATATATATTGTTTGGTTCACTCAGGAAATGCATGTGTCAGGAAACCTGTATTATAAGTTCAGTTAGCTGTCATGTACAAGTAACTGCTGTTACTCCCTGTCCACAGAAATATAACTGATTTTGACATTTTTCCAGATTATATGCATTAAGTAATGAAACTTATGCAGCAAGAAATCCCTGTATTGTAGTTGTTCTAATCATTTTATTCAAACTATAGTATACTGTAGTTTAATTTTTATTTGCAAATTAATTTATTCAAACTACGTGAGTAAACACTTTTCAAAAACAGAAAATCTGGGATTTGTCTGTTGCTTTGTTTCCAAGAGGTGGGAAAAGTGGCTGGAGATGGCCCTTCTGCTCTCATGCATCTGTTCTGCACGTGTGGATTAAGGTCGCAGAAAAGCAACTGCAAAGAGCTTGCATGTTCTCCTGGTCATGGATTTGAATGGCTCCTTTCAGATGTGTCCTGGTTTATATTTAACTCTGCTTTAACAGAAGCAAGGTTGTTGTTCAAAAGATGCAGTTAAATGAGCTCTTCCACCAATAGCTACAAATAATGAAATGTAAGCATAACCTTGAAATGGCTTTTCGAAAGCAGCAAGAGCTCTTGGTTCCACTTCCACAATATCGGATTGACGTATCTTCTCTGGTCCTGATCTTGTTGGCTAAGGGGATATGAAAAAGCAGAAAAGGATGTGAAGCAAGCTACAGAGCAGAATGAATAACATAAAGATGAATTGTGAAAGCAGAGAACAGGATGGTAGCAGGCGTATGCAAAGTGGTGTGCTCACCCCGTGTCGGAGGCACAGCTGGATGCTGATGTGGAGCCAACAGCACATTTGGGCACATGCACACCTGACAAAAAGAGGTTGATGCCCAACGCACAACCACCGTGAAGCCTCTGCCCTATTAAGGTGGTACATTATGCTTTCATTGTACTTCTTTACCTCACCCTGCCAAAAAGACAAGAGAAACCCCCCGGAAGAAGGTGCAGTCTTCACAGAACTGGCTGTTTCTCTGGGTAACATCATACTGAGATAACCCTTCCGAGCCTGCTCCACACTGCCTATTGTATGCTTTTCTTGACCCAAACTGGGCCTGTTAATTCCGTTTTTAACAGGGCAGAACATGGATTCAAATGCCTGAGACACAGAAATCCCACTGTCTAAAGCAGGATAGCAGCAGTCAAGTTGTTTCGGGAACAATTCCATACAACATGCAAAGTAGCTAAAAGCAGTTAACTTTGACCGTGGTTCCCTATTGGAGTTTCCCCTGGGCTTCTGTTCTTAAATAAACAATTTAAATAGGAGGCCTCGTACTCTGTAAACTGTAAAATGAATGTCAGATTAAAAGTAAAATGATCCCTTTGACTCAACCAGCTGACTGAGGCGCTCTGAACTCAGAACCTCTGCTTCTGAACAAGTGTGGGAGCTGGGAGAACTGCAAGAGGTTGCACCGTGCTGGCTCCAAGATGATCATAGCTCCACTTGTGTGCAGCCGAAATCAGCCCCTTGAACCTGCAGAAAACCATCCCTAAATGACATCCATGTCCTTAACCTCCTTTCAGAGGTTTGTTTGAATGGAAAGAGGCATCCATGATGATGGAACGGGATGGATGGGAAATCACTGCAGGTATGAGGGGATGAGATGAGGTGAGGGTAGGTCCTTTTGTAGCATTAAAGTTCTGTGCAGACCTGCCTCTGGAAATGAGCAGCTATGCTTTCCGCAGTTGGTTTGTGATGGCTGCTCTGTTCTGCGCAGCTCTTTGTGTGATGTGTAAAGCAGGTGATTTAATGAGCTAATTTGCTTTTCAGCTGTAGGAAACTGCCTGGATTTAACACTGGTAAAAGGCAGCAGCTTGGCACAGCACTGGCTAATGAAGCCCTTTCTTCTTTCCCAGAGCAGGAGTGGGGCAGCTTGCTGTGTTGACTCACAGCAGGGCAGGAGCATGTTGATGGGAGGTTGCTGGGGGTTTTCTCTGGGGAGCTTGTGGGTAGCCCAGCGCCAACAGAGCCTTCTGTTCCCTTCACTGACTCAGCCACCGGGTTCAAGCCAACACCGTGAGCACGTGGTGTAGCTCTGAGATGCGTGGTGCAGGCTGGGGATGAGGTTTTCTGGTGCCATCTGTGCCAGGCTTGTTACACCTGCAAGAATGAGGCTGGTACCCTGAGAGGTTTAACTAGGTGATGAAGTCACCCCAGCAACCCTCCTCTGCTTGAAGGTGCTCTGCAAATCCCACAGTGACCCTGCTGTGGTGTGCTTGGTCTGCTTCTGAAGAGACACTTTCCAGACCTGATGCTAAAAATACATTTCCAATTTCACAATCTAAGTCTATCACGATGACTACAGCTACCTACCTGCACACTGTCTTTCAGCCTGGATTAGGACTGGTTGCTGTTGAGTTAGACCAGATTTCCTGGTCCTACTCTTGGCTCGTGCGATCCCTGTTTCCTTTCCTATAAAATCATTGGCAAAGCTTGTCTATTTTTACTTGTAGCACTAGGCTTAAACATAAGGGCTGTGATCATCCTGGAAATGCAGCTTCTGAGGCTCTTTCGTGGCTACAGATCACTTGTACATGCGCTGTTGTGCAACCGGTGAGAAAGACCTGGGAAAGCATCTCTTTGGGAGCTGCAATGATTCCAGTGACCTGTGTTAGCAGCTCTGTGGCAAGTGTGGCCTCTGTATGGGCAGCAGCAAGAGCTGAGGCCCCCGTTTCCTTGCAGAGAACAGCACTGTGTCAAGTCCTGCTGTTGGATGCGGTATCCCATGGTAACGTACACCGAGCCGGGGAAACACCGATGTGTGCTACTGCACGAAGAACAGCCTGCTTAGCTGTGCTAGGAGCTGCTGGTTGTCGGTCTGGTCCCGTCTCCCTCCTGAAAGAAAAAGGTGGGACAGGTTTAAAGAGCAGAAGAAAAATGCTTTTATTTCCTCAAGGTGGTGCCCTGTGCAAGCAGCCATACCCAACACAGCCCTGGGGACTGCAGAGCCTGCAGTGGCTTCACGCGTGCCTGAGGCTTTACATTTCAGCCACAAGCTCCAGTGCCTGAATCTTTATGCGCTGCCTTGGTCCCCCTGCAAGCTGCTGCACATCCTCCTCCCTCCTGCCCCAGCAGATATGGTCCCTTCCGCAACCGCAGTAAGCAGGGGACTTTGCAGAAGCAGCCCCCCGGGAGAACCTTGTGTGGGATCAGGTTGGGCACTGGCTGGGGCTGCATCCCCTGAGGCTGAGCCTGGGAGGAGATGAGCAACCAGAGGGCAAAGCACCAGCTCTGGCAGTCAAGAGCTCCCTGACACTCTTGATTTGGCTGCTAGCGCTCTCCATCCCTGTCCCACTGCCCCTCTTGCAGGGCTGGAATGGGAACCAGCACCGGCATCACCCTTTCTCTGCCCTGTGATGCTTGCCTGGCTCTGCTGCTAGGGGTGCACTTGTGGCAGCAGCGAAGGCACCAGCGAATACCCGGTTCTGCTGCCCCTGATGAGGGCCCATCGCTATCACGCAGTGGTTGAGACATCTCACATCCTCTGCGTGGGCACCCGTGACCTTATGGATCAAGCAGAGGAACACTTTCCTGCTGGCACAGGCATCTCCTTTGTAATTTGGCAGTGCCTGCAATATCGTGATGTTTTCATTTTGAAGGCTTTTGCTGATTTAGTGTCACTAAACAGCTCTGAGGCAGCAGTGAATTATTAATCTGCTTTGACTTCCTTCCTTTACGCTGTCTACATACATAACAACAGCTCTGTACTGAGATCGCTACTGGAGATGCGGTGCCTTTCAGAAACATGGTGAGGGTACAGAGTCCTTTGGAGTGGTAACTTGTGCCAGGATTGTCTATTTTATCTCTGCATATTGAAAGCATCTCATTAGAAGGCAGCACATGATGGACTCCTAAGGATTCCCCATGAGTGTGCCACACAAAGCATGAGGCACGGAGACAGCAGATGAGAAGTGCAGTACACTGTTAACTCACTTGGGGAGGAAGCTTCCTTATACATGTTCTTTACTCCTAACACCCAGGATGATCCTGGCTGTTTGTCAACAGCTCATGTTCTTTTGTCCCTTTCTTTTGTTTCTGCTTCAGCCCTCCCCCCCAGGTTAAATCAGATTCACTTTGCAGCTCATCTGACAGCTTCTCACTCACGTTCGTTGTGGTTATGATTACTTTTTAAAGCATTTCTATTGATATATGTGACTTCTAATGCATTAAACTGGAGAATGCTGTCAATGGGAGCTGGTCAAGGATAAGGGAAGAGCTTAAGGAGTGGCTTTCCTGGGCTCCTGGGCATCAGCCTCATGCAGGATAAGTCTTGCAGTAAGCACAGCATTTCATCTCTGGGCTTTCCCTGGATTAGATCCCCAGCACCTCCCACATCCCAGCCCCTTGATACCTGTAAAATAACACTTTAATGCAATCGCTTCACAAATGGGATCTACCTTCACTACTCCCTTTGGTTGGCTGCAATTTAGGAGCTGAGTGAGCACAAAGCCTTTAGTGCTTCCATATCCTCTTCTCTCTGAAACAGTATTTTTAGCTGATCCCAGAAGACTTGAAACAAAACAAATGCATGCAGTGATATTCTAAACTTGCCTGGATGCAAGGCTAAAAACTGCAGCTTGCTGTCATGCGCTGTAGGAGAGGAATTGAGTCAACTCCTCCTTTCCAAAAACCCATGCTTCTGTCTTTTTTTTCCCTGCCGTGTGGGAGGAGGAGAGAATTAGTTATTCAGTGGAATGAGGACAATTAAAAGCAAACGCAGCTTCCAGCGATGCCATCATCTGTTCTGTTAGCCCTGAGCAACATGGAGCCAGCCTGGCTTTTTAACTGGCCTCTTTTTGTGTCTCTCTGCCCTGTGCTTCCAGTTGACACTTTTATGTCTTCATAGGTCTGGGGTGTTGGTGTGCTCGTTTTCATTTTGCCTGGATGGTTGCCCAAAATGTGACTTTAAAGAGGATGAAAGGCTCCAGCCTGTGGTGGACTGAGAGGTCTTGCTGTCTGTTGCCCAGCTTGCCATTCTGTGGAGCACATGGGGACGTGTCTGTGGGTCCCACCACAGGATGAGCCTGTGGTGCCATCCTCTACCATTGCTGGAGGGTAAATGTTGTCTGAGATATGGGTCACAGGAACACGGGCACATATCATCTGCCACCCCATACAGGTGGTGGTCAGGGTGGCAAGCCAGGCAGAGCCAGTACAGGCCCTTCAGAACAAAGCTGCCAGGGCCTCAAGCCATTTAGTCAGCTCGCTTCACTTCGGAAGGTGGTCTCTGAAATGCCCCATAACAGTACAGAGCATGGGTATGGGATGCTTTCAGCGTGGCTTGAGAGCAGCTTTCCGGAGAGGCAGGGTGAGCAATGCCGGGATCTGCCCTGCCGTTGCTCCGGGTGCTCTCAGTGTTACTCAGTGTTTCTGCCAGCGTCACTCTTTATCACTTGGAAATCTCACCCCGCCTGCTCTCCAGCAGCAGCAGCAGCAGCAGCAGAAGGTGTGTGTGGAAGCGCCTTTGGGCGTTGATGAATCAGTGCTGTGTCGCTCATGTCGCACTCCTTGGCAACTGCCTGCCAGGGAAAGCCATCACCAGAGCCAGGGCAAGGGACTTTGCAAAAGGGGACCTCGGGTAGAGCCCGTGCCAGCCCTAAGGGAAAAATCACTCCATCCCTCAGTCTTTCAAACAACATTGCCAAATGCACTGTAGTTAACCAGTGGAGTGGCTTTCATTCTGTGGAATGCTGGGATTAGTGTTCCTCACAACAGCATAAATATATTTATAGACCATGTGTGCCTGCTTTTTGTTATATTTTGATCTTTATAGGCTAATGGTTAATAAAGCCAAGGCTGGTTTTATATTCCTGCAGTGAAAAATGTGTTGAATGTATCACGCAAGAGGCTTGGGCTCTGCTGGCCCCAAACAGTCTTTCAGAATGTAATTTAGTGGCTAAGTCATAGAATGGTTTGGTTAAGAGGGACCTTAAAGCCCATCTAGTTGCACCGCCCCTTGCCATGGGATAAGGTTGCTCAAAGTCCCATCCAACCTGGCCTTGATTCACACTACAGAAGTATAAAGGTGGGATGTCACAGGCTGGCTTCCCCAGGACAGAGCAGAGGAAGAGAAGAGCAGCTGTGGCAGTCCCCAGGGTGGGGGTATTTAACCCACCTTTGCTCTAGGTCCTCAATGCTACACGGTGTGTTCTGTGTAGCAGCAGTCTCTGAATTACTTTTCTCATCCCAGCTTGCCACCTGCCAGAGTGGCAGAGTCACAAAATAGACTGGGTTGGAGGGACCTTCAAGGCTCACCCAGTCCAACCCCCCTGCAATGAGCAGGGACATCTTCATCTAGATCAGGTAGCCCAGAACCACATCCAACCTGGCCTTGCATGTCTCCAGGGATGGTGCATCCATCACCTCTCTGGGCAACCTGAGCCAGTGTTTCACCACCCTCACTTGCTGTAAAAGATTCCTTTCTCACATCCAGCCTGAGTCTCCCCTCTTTTAGTTTAAAACCCTCGTCCTACCGCAAGAGACGATGCTGAAAAGTCTCTCCCCACCTTTCTTACAAGCCACTTTTAAGAACTGAAAGGCAGCTCTGTGGAGCCTCCTCCAGGTTGAACAACCCCAGCTCTCCCAGCCTCTCCTCAGAGGAGAGGTGCTCCATCCTGTACACATCTGGTCAGCCATCACCTTATGTTTCCTCCCAGAATCTGAGTGGCAGCGTGCAGCAGTGTTGGGTCCAAGCACCTCACAGATGGCTCTGTCCCATCCATGGCAGAACCTCCATCAGGGAAGCTCTCAGCTAATCCACTTAATGTGGGCTTTTCTGACAGTGGGGGACAGTGCTAATCTTTTACCCACAATGTCACCCCATGCCAAGTCAGATGTCTTACAGAACTCCATTGCGACTGCCTTATATCTGCCAAACCTGTTATCTTAAAGGAGGAAAGCACGTTTGCCAGATGTTTTTCTTCAGGTAAAAGCCATGTTGATTTGCATTATGTTATTTTCCTTTATGTGTGAGCACTGATCAGCTTTCTCTTTATTTTGCTCAGTGGGGATGTCAGATGAGTTAGTCTAAAATGGTAGTTCTGGCTCTCTTTTGAGTAGCAGATCTTAGTGTCTCTGGAATTTCCCTACTATTTCAAAGGGGGAAAAAAAAAGTGAGAGTTCCCAGGTTCCATCAAAAAACTTTTTCACCAGTTTTAGAAGCGAGCTTCTCTTCATCAGCTGATTTTAAAACACACTGTGTTCATAATGTACTCACAGACCCAAGGAAGGTCCTCTCCTGCATTAATCTGCTCCATGGCAGGGTCAGTTCTGCTCAAATCCTGCTTGCCAAGTGTTCATTTCACTTACCCTTTGAAAATCTGCAGTGCTGGAGCTCCACAACTTCTGCAGGCAGCCTGTTCCTCAGTTCAACTATCGTCCTAGTGAGAAATTGCTCTTCATCCTGAACCTAAAGCCCCAGAAGGAAAGCTTATAGTATATTACTGCTTGTTCCCACCATAGAATGGGGAGTCAATAGTTTTTTCTCCCTCCTTCTAGCAGCCTTTTACGTAGTTGAAGGCAATGGGCATATTTCTCCTCATCCTCTTCTCCTTTTGATCTTCCTAGGCTGTGTTTGCAAGGCTGCTGGGGTTCTTGCTTCTGTATCCTGAACGTTGCTTTCAACTTCACCATGTCCTCCCCAAGGCCCTCCACCTGCCAAGCAAAGTGAGAAGGTCCCTGCTGGTGTCCTGAATGCTGAGTGTCCTCCAAAGACTCTTCCCCACCTCCTCCACTGCTGAAAGATACCCTTGATGGTTCTTCATTTCAGTATACTTCTGCCCGTTGGAAAGCATTTCAATTTTGGGTGCCTGAGAGTAGAACATGGAGCAATTTGGTTCTTCTACAGAGTCCTTCCAGGTTTTAACCGCAAGGTGAAGGGGATGATCCACACCAAAACAACCCTACATGAGCAAATATTAGTGCTGCTGACAGTGCTGCTGCTGACAGTGTCACTGCTGCACATAGGAGTGGGGCTGTGCACCCATGGAATGGGTGTAGAGCAAATTCCACCCGGAAAAACAGGATGGAGAGGCTCCCTCCTTACCATGGGCTTCTGTGCTTCTCCTGGAGCACCCCCAATTTGCTGCTTTTTGGAGGACAGATCCTGTATTAGCATTAGTCCTACACAGACCAACAGCCTTAGACAACCAAGCCTCTTCCTTGTGAAACCAGCTCATTAATGAACAAAGCTAGAACTCATCAACTCCCCCTCTAATAAAGTAAACTGAAGAGCAAGTTGAGACCAAACACTTACCTACTGTTTGGGGCTTTTCTTTGTTTTCTTATATCAAAAACCCCAAAACAGCTCAAAGCCAAAGCTGTTGTGTTCAAGCATTTCTGCAGTGTGTGGAAATAAAGATGTTACAACTTTCTGGTATGCCTGTTATCAACTAAGAGCTTCCCCCACCTGACACTGAATGAACTCATCCAACAAATGGACCTGGAAGAAAAAAAAAGGGTGGAAAGGTGCCTAACAAGCCCTAAACCTCTGACACTCAATTTATTAAAGTCTAATGATGAGCTATTAATAATGAATGGAGCCAGGACGATGGGAGAACAGCAGTATAATGGCCTCAAGATTTGTAGTTAGCCAGATTTCTCTACAGAGCTGGGAAAGAAGAGGGCAGCTTTCAAAAGGGATGAAGAGGCTCCTCAGAGGGACACATGTGAGCAGTAGTCTGCAGGCTGGGTAGATTGGTGGAAGAGTATTTTAAGTGTTTCTTTCACTACAGGCTGAAATGGGAGTGGGTGTTGCACATGTCTTGTAAGGAAAAGATGCTCGTAAATGCCAAGACCTTGAGTATAATGTATTTGAATAATAATAATTCAAATAATAATAATATTTGAATAATAATGATGAATTTGGGTCATTTCCTCACCGATGGTGATTTCCTGTGTGAAATTAACACTTTCTCCCTGCATCTCCCATCTCTTGTGGTATATGCACAGAAATGCAGCCTCCTGCCTCTTGGGCCGGATTTGGGGAGTCAGTGTTCCCATGGCGGTGGCTGTCAGGGACATGCAGAGCTGGGGATGTGATGAACATTACACCTTGAGCATAAACAACTCGCTCGCCTGTTCACCTTGTAGTAACGTGGTCTAGACCGTTTCCTTTGGTGGCTGCATGAGGCAGGGTTACTCAAGTGAAGATGCAGCACATCTGTGACTTCTCTTTCCTAGCTGCCAGGCCAGCTGCCTTATCAAAGAGAGAAATGGAGCTGGATAGACAGGGCTTGTTTTTGTAAGCCTGTACTGCTTTAGGATCACGTGGGCCTTTAAGATTAATTAATGCTGTATTTGGATGTCTCCCTAGATATTGGTAATAGGTTCTCTGGCCCTGTGGGCCCTCTCCTGTGCCCTGCAGTTTATAAAGTCGCCCACTGACAGCCATTTGATTGGTTTCTTGAAGGCTCCAGAGTAAATTTTACTTGTCCCTGCTGACTCTGAATTCCTCTCATCTCTCTTAACTATTGTTTAAGCTGCTCTCTTCCTCATCTGGCCTGTATTTCCTGTCTCTGGTTGTTACTATGGAACGTGTTAATAACCATCTGGATGCCATTAACATATTCTGTGAGAACAGAAGCAGGATAAAAAGTGGAAATTGCAGACAGAGCCTATGCAGAAATAAATCTGTGTTCTTTCGTGTTTGCACCAGGAGCAACCTCCCAGAGGAAGGCATCTTGCACCCTTCTCGTGCTTGTGAAACAGACCACTAGCACTGATTAATACCAGTAAGGTAGGTGTAAAAACACAGTGTGGACAAGGGAGTTACCATGTGGTAGTAAGAAATGCTTCCACAGGATCCAGAGGGTATTAGAAAGAGCTTGGTGTGCCTGTGGTCATCTCAGTAAGACATGTCCCTATAAGCATTCCTGTTCTGGCTCTGTGAGCAGGGAATAACAAGGGGAAGGACAGAAGAGTGCTGATCACTTTACTCCTTTCTTTTCAGGGCTGGGTGAATCCACAGAGTGTATGTGAGGCTCTTTTGAACAGTCACCAGCAGATGAAGTAATTGGAGGCCTCACCCACACCACAGTTTATTCAGCCAGCTGCTGTAGGTCTTCTAACAGAGGTGCTTTTTAATATGCACAAACATGTCACTAAGTCAAGCACTGAAAATGTCAGTTTGATTTTGCCACGCTACCCACAAAGTATGATGTGTTTTCTGTTGTGTGCTGTTGTCAAGGTGAAGAAATGCACCAACGTGGGGGTTTAATTACTTTGATCTTGAGCTCTGATACAAGCTGTAAGGGAAACATTGCCCTAGATGAATAAAGAGATGGTGCAACAGCTGATCAGGCCTCTGGTGAGGAGCCAAGCTCTTCTAAAGCAAGGAGGTGATTTCAGTCTTGTTCCAATCTCTAGTTTCTTCGATCCTGTTACTCAGTTCCTACAGAGCCTTCTGCTAGGAGCAAGCAAACACCAGGAGACAAGAAAAGACATGTATTGCCTGAAATGCAGGTACCCTTCATTTCTGGAAATCCGGGGAAAGGCTGCCATCTGCTGTAATACAGAGCGGTTGCTGGAAATAAATCCGACCTAAATCAAACCATAGTAGCCACGTGTGGTGAGCTTAGGGTAGAAGCAAGGTTAAGACAAGCAAAGACAAACTGTGTGCTTAAAATGCCTGTTGATGCTTTCCCCGCAGATCACTCTCCCAATAATGGCTATTGCCTATCCCTACAAAACCATGCCCTTAGAGGAAAAGAATTAGTCTTGTGGTCCTCACCTGCTTTAATCCCTGGGATTCCCAGTCAAGGTCAGAGACAGTGGAGTAGTCTGCTGCAAGGGGACAGTGTGCTGCTCCCTCAGTTCAGTCTGGGTACCCAGGTACTTCTAAAGCCTCTCAGCTGTACAATTACATAATTCATAAAGGTATGTGTTTTTCTTCTCAGTGGTATGTGTGTGATACCTAAGATAGCAACAAGTTAGCTTGGCCACTTCTGCATTTCTTGGTTGGGATTCTATGGCTGTACTCTCTACCCGTGGACCTTGCAACCTAGAGGAGCTCCAAGTCTAGAAAACCATCTATAATACAGGGCCTTTATTTCTGATCTCTAAAACAAAATCTGTACTGAACCCTGTGGTAAAGATAGAACCTGATTTGTATCTCTGAAAGCCCCTAAAAACCCAGCCTTGCGTGCTTGGTAATTTATTTAGACATCACCAACTTGGTTTGCTTTTTCTGCACTACTTAATTTTTCTCGGTCCATATCATCACTTGCTTTGAAAGTGCACATCGTGATTCGCAAGTAATCTCAGAAAGATGAGGTTTTGGTTTGCCTGAGTAAAGACAGACAGAGGGGTCAGAAAGAATTGTTCCAAATAAACAAGTTAGCATGGGAAAAGGTGGGAATAAAGGACAGGAGCTCCTGACACCCTGCTCGTTTTGTAAATGAAACTTACTGCATGGTTATGGCATGGCAACTCCAGCAGGGACATCTTCCTGGAGACCTTTAAGAATCCAACACCTCTCACCCATGCTCAGCTGAAAAGGATGCACATAGGAGATGCAGTTTTTAGAACAGCTGGGTTGTGCATTGTCTGCTTGTAGGCACGTGTCCATCCCTCCGCCAAGTGGTGCCAAATACATTAAAATCCAGTAAAGTCAGGATGTTTTGCTTCTTCTGGGATACCAGGATGGTTGGAAACAGCAAGGTCTGCCAAGGAAAATCACTGATTTTTGGCTGTGTTTTGTTACAGTGGTCAGGAGGTCTAACATCATATATTGCTGAAGAGATGGTCAGCTCCAGATGGTAGGTACTCAAGCCTACATGGTGGGGGTGGATGAAGGGAGGCCAATAAAAAAGAGGTAAGTATTTGCCAGCAGTACAAAGGTGTGGATAATGATGGTGAAAACACCCAGGATGTGATGTAGACAGAAAAAAGACATGAGAGAGAGAGAGAAACTTCTTCAGGAGTATCTCAAAGAGCAGCAGGATTAGAGAATGAGTCTACAGGCTGCAAAAGGAGAAGACTTACACAGATCCTGGAAAGTTGGAGGGCTTGATAAGGTATCTGAATCCCTGTGGATGATTCAAGTAAATGCTAATGGTGAATTCCATATGCATCAGATATACCTGGTCTCTACACAGCGATTCCTTGTTGCCCAACAGGGGAATCTGTTGTGTTTTTCAGTAACTTCCCATGTTGCTGTTTAATTTAAAAGGGAAGCTCAGAGTCCATGGTTGGTGATATTGGAGTTGCTGCTCGGACCAGACTGTTTCCCATTACACTTCCCTGAAAGCATCCCACTAGAATCCCTCCTTTTGTAATGTTGGGGTGGCAGTGGCTGAATTCAAAGGGAGTGCTGCACATAACAAAGCTAGCCTGGAAAGCTGACATAAAAAAGCCAGAGGCCCTGATGACTCAGGTATTAATGTACTCCACTTCATCAGAATAAGCTGCCATCTGATAAACTGTGCTCACTCCAGATACAGAAGCAAGAGCTTTTAATTTTATGCAGCCTCTCTACTGGAGACTGACAGTACCAAGAAGAAACTGGGTTAAACGCAGATACATCTTCAGCATGTCTAATGTGCTGAGGAATGTCTTAGAGCCAGAAGGAGCTCCGCTACTGTTGCAGACATGGAGGAATAAATGTTGTAGCATTTAGGAACAATGGGAGAGATTTAGCACCCCTGCTTTATGGGCCGCCTTTATGTTGTGACAGTGTCTTGGTGGTGGTTGTTAAGAAACTGTCCTAGACAGAGCTACCCTGATCCACTACCCTGATGCAGCCACTTTTCCTTCCTGCACTCCCCTTCTTCTCACACTTTGTATGCCCTGGCATGCAGTAGTGGCCCAGCTCGCTCTCATCTCTGAAGGAAAATGTGGGTATTGTCCTCCAGTGTCAGACCAGGCAACCATCCTGCCCTATGTCTTGCTTCTAGCAAGGATGCAGCATGCCAGGTGGTGGCCTGGGAGCGCAGAGGTGGGCCACCCATCTGCCTTCTCTACTTGGGTCTGATCCTGAGCTCTAATAGTTAGCATTTGGTTCAAAATTGTCATGTGTGTTAATTTTGAAAGCCCCTAATGTTGCCCTATGAAACTGCCAACCTGTTCTACGTCTTTCTAAGCCCCTGTCTTGAAAGGTTTCTTGTGGCTTTGAGCACCACGCTCCACTTACACATGCTATTGGCATGAAAAATTCAGTCTTAATATCCCTTCACATCACTGAAGACAAGAAGAGCAGAAACTCTCCATCTGCTCTCTCTGCAGTGTTATTTTATATTTCTTTTATACCCTTTGCTTCCCCCAAAGAGAGCTTTACCTTGATCTTTGGTTGTTCCTGTCGTTGTTTAATGCTGCTCTTTTAGAGACAAGATTACCCACTACACACAGTGTTCCTGGGGGACCTGCCCCTCTAATTACATTTAATCATTATTTTCCCTCATATTCCCTACGGATCCAAATACCTTGTTCATTTTTTTACTTGCAGTTCAAGCTGAGCAAAGGTTTTCTGTGAAAGCTTCTGAAGGCTCGTGATACCAGAACCCTGCAAGCAAGGACCTTCTAAAAATACCACAGCATCCCAGGAAAGGAGCCCAGATATTACTAGAGATAACCCAGCTTTTACAATAGTTGGCTACTAGTTCTGCCACTAAGCAATAATACGCATTTCCCTACTTTTTATTGTCTCTTGCATTCTCTCTTATCTGGGAAAACTCTGAGGTACTTTGTTCTTTTTACTGCTTATTTTCTACATCACAAAACCCACTGTTTCCCTTCTTTCTTTTACAGGAAGACTTCTGAACCAGAATGAGTGTAGGAAAATACCCTGTCATGTTTCTGTTGTTCTTCAAGAATGCCAATTTAACTCACAGAGCTGAAAAAGTAGCAGTAGAAAATTTTTCCTGGCTAAAACTGCTGGGGATTGGACTTGTTTACCTAGGAGAGACTTTGTAGGACCACGTCCCATATGCACAGGAATAAGGATGTTTGTCATTTCATGTCACCGGGGCACTGTACCACGCTGGCAGCGCTGAGTCACGCTTCCCTGCAAAGCCAACGTGGCCCTTGGCAGTCAGAAGGAAGCAGAGGTAACTGAAACGCTGCAGTCAGAAGACTTACCATAAAAGCATACTTCATGGAAATAAGATGTACTTGAAGAGGTGGACAGGCAACACATCAAGTGAACTATGGTTGACTGACTCACAATTTTCTCACCCAACTCTGCTGGTAAACCAATGGCTGTTCTTATCTGCAAAGAACCGTCAGCACATTCAGGCTGCAAATATGAGAGTTCACAAGAGCAGACAGGCTGTGTGTCCTGGGGGAGTTTAAAACAGCCTTTCTTCTCAAAGTCACTAGAAATCACGCACCGAGTATCTACAGATCCAGGGGGAGGAGGTATCTTGGCCTGGACTGGCGTTGTTACTGCCACTGTGATGTTTAGCCAAAAGATGACAGTCAGAAAAGCAAGCAGTAGGAGGTAACTGCACCTCTGTCACCCTTTCCTTCTGGTCCACAAATATTATGCAGCATTAGTTTAATCTTTCCAAAAGGAACAGAGGGCTTTGCCGCTAATACAAAATGCAACAGAACAATAACATTAACTTGGAGATAACACCAATGAAGCACAAGGTAGAAAATCAAACACGAAATCAAACAATTTGTTACTTTCCCTGTGTGAGCGGGTAACAAGGCTCTCTTCATTGCAACTGAGAAATATTAAAGGTCATGGGAGGGGGCATGGCTAAAAGGTCACTTTGAGGGTATGGCTTTCCCCTGTGTCTCTGGCAAAATTAATCACTGCGGTTTTGAACATACCTCTTTGGTGAAAGAGAAACACAGACCTGAGGTTTTCAGCCAGATCAGTACTTCCTGGGTAAATGTCAACTGAGGGCTAAGTCCAGCTCTACATAAAGGTCATTTCATGCTAAGTGAGTGATGCAGAATTTCTTTTTAAAGCTGCTCTGAGTAATCAATTGAGATTACCCTGGCAGGATGTCTCCCCGACTTGGGTGAAGATGGTTCAAGATCAGAGTTCTGAATATCAGCAGCTGAGTGCTGAAGTCAGTCCTACACAGCTGGACTTGGCCCCAGCTCCATTTGTAAACCAGGACCAGACACACTGCAGTGTCAAGTGTGTCAGCCTATGATTCATCCAAGCGAGGCACAGAAAATAGTATCCACACTGCAGAACTCACCTTCAGCCTCAAGCTGACCCATAGGGCTGGAGAGGGGAAACCCGATTGACCACTGAGGCTGTGGGAAGGGCTTTCCCTTCACAACTAGCATCTGTAGTTAATAACCACCCATAGCTGCTCCTCTTCTGGGGATTCCCTTTCTTTTCCCCTTTCCCCTCCCTTCCCATCCCCTCCCATCTGTTTCTTCGCCAGTGGAAAGTGGTTGTGCAGATACTCCCAGGTCCCTTTCCAAAGTCAGGCTGCTGAAAGCAAACAATGAGTGTGATTTAGGCAAACCCAAACTTTCCATCTCACTGGTGAGTGCTTGCAGGAGCCATGGGGATACCCCCACCCAGCTGGCAGCAACGCTGAGGCAGCAGGGCAGGAACGCCAACCTCAGCCCACACAGCTGAGGACATTCGTCTGACACTACAGTACGTAACACAAAGCAGAACCGTGGTGGAGGACAGGGCTGACACAGCCTCCATCCCTCCCACAGCCTCTGTGATTTCATTGACATTATCCATGTGAGAAAATTCTGCAAACTCAGTCTTTCTGCAGTCTGGATCTATACACAGTGATCAGTTTTATGTTATGCCCATGATCTCTCACTTTATTGCAACTATATCTTGTTCTAGGGGTTAGAAGACAGACTGTAACTAATGTGATCCCCAAGCAAAAAAAAAATCCCAAATCCACCACACTTTACCCGTGAGAAACACGTTCATTGTGTGTCTGCAGTCTGAACACAGTTAAGATTTATGGACAAAGAGGTTTCTGCCAGGTAGTGGAAAAGATGCTATGAAAAAATTGTGAGTGACATTTGCAGGTTGCTGCAGAGAAATTCCCATTGGCTTTCTAACAAGCATTTCATATTTAACATGGGGTTTTTTACTCCTTTGCTGTTCCATCTTTCAGTAAAGCCTGTTTGAGCTGTGCTGAGCTGTTATTAATTCCAGCACCTCAGTAAGCCAAAGACGGTATTTCGAAGCATGAGAAGGTACATCTTTATTTTCTAAAGCTGTCTAGGAGAGGTACAATGGATGCAAAGAGGGTGCAGCAGTGGTGGTGATGATCACTGATGTTAAAGCCAACAGTTACGAAGTAACAGCAATATTCAACTAGTATTTCTTTCTAGTAGTGTCACATTTTGTGCTCTTTAAGCTCCTTGTATAAAACAGTTACCGCTTGCTGGGTAAGATGAGATCAGATTTCATTGCAATTTCACATACAAAGCAGCAAATGGAGCTATTTCAGCTTACGTCAGTGTCTCCCAGACTATCATACACATGTGAGCGGCAGTCAGCCGGCCAGGCTGAGTAGCCTTCAGTCCGCATAGGAGCACGTTAAGCTGTGCTTTCAATAAGCTTTGCAATGAAAAGTTTGGTGCTGCATGAGCTGCAAGCCACAGTCATTGTAAAAACAGCCAGGAATAGTCTGCTGCAAAAAAGCTTGGGATGCACAGCAGCAGTTTTCCCTCTCCAGTTGTGGTTTTAGGGCGTTAACACTAATCAACAATAGCAACAACAACAAAAACACCCAAAACTCCATCTGGGCATGAAACGACCACTTGCAAACAGGGCTGGAATGTTCTGACTATTGGAAAACAGCTGTCCTCATGCTGTAAATAAAAGGGATTTGAAGGTACTCCCTGTGCCCTCAATAAATGGTGTTGCACAACCAGGGCTGCAAGACGTGCAGGCTGAGGCTGTGATTATCTCAGGGAAGTGTCCTGTGCTGATCTCCACCGTGTTCATGCTTTTCCATGTGGGTTGTGGGTGAGTTTTTTTGGCTTTGTAGCATCAGGCCTTCTGGGCCTTGCCGATAGGCAAGTGAGAGGGAAGTAACTGCATGGTCAGGCATCTTAAGATCCCTATTTGTGCCCCATGCCATTACTCAATATTTCACACTCTGAAATGTGGGGCCCATTGGTTCATCCAGATGTGTGGCGGCTTGAGAAAGTGAAATTCAGCAGTGAAAGCAGGAAAAAAGCAGCCAGGAAATCCCATTGGCAAATGATAATGAAATCCTCCAACCTGCTTCTCTGAAGTGCTCTTTTCTGCAGTGTCCTAAGGTCTGCAGAGCTAACGTCTGACTTGAGCTCCACAACCCCACAGGAAGATAACTGTGTGCTGGGTAAGACAGCAGCTCCTACAAATAGCTGTGACCCAGGATGTTCCATGTCTGGATCCAAAAGCCGTGCCAGCCTAGTGCTCAAGTCCATGGGAATGTGAAGTGGGAGAGTGGTCCCACTGGAAATGGTAGCCGAGGTGTGTGATACCAGCAGCGATACACTGGTGTGACTACCTGGGTGAGTCTTGCAGCTGGAGGCAAAGCAGTAGCAAAACAGAGCCTTGAAGCAACACAGAGGCCACACAGTTCACCCTGTGAGCACAACATCCACGCACCTGAAACCACAGCCTCTACTGCGGGATGTACAACGGCTTGCTTGCTGATGAGTCTGTGCTTTGAATGGGCCAAACCTGGTTATCCCTTGGGATCAACCTTCCACAGCCTGTGGTAAAGATGCTAGTGCTTATCTTTAGCCTGATGCAGCCTTTTGGCATGCTGCAAACTGAGTCTGATGGGAGCAATGAAATAGGATACTGCAACCACAATATGCAGCCTCCCCAAGTCACTGCCTGGAACAAAGCAAATAATGTCCTTAATGTGGGGTTGTGTGGGGAACAAAGTGTCTCCACAATTCCCTTGTACTTTCTTCCTGGTATTTGTTTATCTTATGTGTGTAAGCATGTATTTCTTCTGCATCTACAATTCATTCCTTCTCTTGCAAACAGCCCAGCCTGCTCTGCCGGCGACCGGCACGGGGTCAGTATAGGTGTCAGCAGCTTGCTGTTGCTATTAGTACATTAGTGAGAAGAGACAAGCTTAAGACAGGAGCCTGCTGTCTGACAAATGAGTGTTCCAAGCCAAAGGGTGAACATGGGTCAGGTCAGACACATCTCTCAAGGAAGCCGTCGTAGAATCCATGTGACTCCCAAGCACCTGATCCCAGTGACAATCCAAAGTCTGCAAAACAAGTTGTACCCAACAATTGTCTGTCAACATCTGCTACCAAGGAGCAAAAAGCCATCTCCAGCCCACCTGGGGTGATACCAGTCTGCCTGGTGTCAGCACAGGGGCAGGCACAGAAATGAGTTAGCAAGACGCAAGCCAGGGTGTGAACCCATGGATTTCCACATACGTGCACTTACGTGGCCCATACCCTCGTACTCACGTGTATCCGATCATCAGCACAAATGTAATTATTGCTGTTAATTAATCAGCACCTCCCTGTCTTGTGATACCTTTTGTTGACTAACACAGCATTATGGCTGAGGATTTAAGAGCACTGAAGGTACAATCAGGTATAACGCTGTTTTGCTTACTTGGGACCTAACTTGTCTCTCTATTTCAGCATCTTCTGTAGCCTGATGGAGAATTGAGCCTAAAATTTAAGTCTGAATAACAAGTTATCAGCCAGAGACTGACGAGTACAACCCCTGGTTAGAGTCTCTGAGCAAGACCATGGCCATTTGGCACAACTTCCCCACCACTGCACTATGTGGTGGCAGAGACCAAGCCCCATGGAGGAGCAGCTGCCACCACAGAGCCTGGCTGCTTCGGCTCACTGCCGGCACGGAGAGAGCCCACAGGGCCTCCATAGCCCTAAGGAGACCCTGGTCCCCCACCGGGGCCACTGCTGGGGCACATTTGTGGCACCCCTCACGCTCTGATGTGGCAGCACCTTGGTTGTGGGGGACCCTCAAACGGCAGCAGCTCGGCCATGGGGCCTCTCAAATGGTGGTGCTTTGGCCATGGGGCACTTGTGAGGCCTCTCAAATGGCGGCGCCCTGGCCGTGAGGCACTGCGGAGCCCCCTCGCCCCTGGCACGGCGGCGGGCCCCGGCCCCCCTCAATCCTGCAGCGTCCCCGGGGCGGCCGCAGCACCAAGACGCGAAGCCGACCCCGCAGGGACGCAACCCCCGGCCCAGCGCGCCCGGACAGGGGCAGCCCCTTCCGCCGGCCGCGGCGGCGGCTCCTCCTCCGGGCGGCGGGGAGAGGCGGTGCCTCGGCCCCTCCCGCCGCTGCCGCCGCCGCCGCTGCTGCTGTTGCCGCCGCCGGCCGGGCCCTTCCTGCGCCGCCCTGTCCTGCCCTGCGCGGCGGGGAGCGACGTGTCGCCGCGGAGGCGCCGCGCTAGGCCGCCCGGCGCCGCAGGTAGGCAGCGGGGAGCTGCCCGGCGCTAGGCCGCGGTGCAGGTGCCTCCGCCCGCGGCCGCGGGGCTCTCCCGGGGAGCGGCCGGGAAAGTTGAGTTTCCCCGGGTGCCCTTTGTCTTTGCGGGCCGGGCCCTCCGCGGGGCGAGGGCAGGGGGCGGCCTGGGCCGTGTGGAGGGGAGGAGGGCGTGAGGGAAGCGGCGCCAGGTTCGAGGCGCGGGGGGGGGCCGCCCGGTTCTCCGGGAATTTGGGTTGTGTATTTCCATGGTAACCCCCCGGTGGGAAGCGGGCGGTGTCTGGAAGCGGTGCCCGTGCGTGGCAGGGAAGCACTGAGCGTGTACGGCAGTGTCAGTGGTGGGCCGCCCCGAGCACGGCCATCGCGGGCCTCCCTCATGCGGGCTCTCTCCCGCAGGTCACCCACACGCCATCCCCAAGCGCTGGGACCACCGGGCAGTTCTCCATAGGATGCGACGGGGAGAGATATGACGACGGCCTCCCTGAGATCCTGCCGGCGTGTTCTCGCTAAGGTGCGGCCGGCTCCTCGTCAGGCACGGCTGTTGTAAGCAGTTGGTGCGCGGGGAAGTGGTGTTTGGAGCAAGTGTTGGGGGGTTTAATCTGTAATGCTGGCACCCATGTTAATGGCAACCGGGATGGACTGGGATATGGAGCGCTAAAGGGTTTGTTGGTTCCAAAAGCCATTTAGGCTCACAGTAGTTCTGGGTTTATAGACAAACATCATTTCTTGGCTTTCCTTACTGTAATTTTTCAAACACAGTATGTACTATTGAGAGAAATACCCGTATGTGTTGGTAAAATACCGACCTCCTGCACTCTCAACAAAAAATTAACTTTCTCTTTGACTGACCAGTTTTTGCCTTAGTGTTGTATTGATTCTCTTTTCTTTCTCTCTTTTTCTTATATTCTCTAAATACTTAGTATTTCTATTACAGAGCATTATAGAATCATAGAATGGTTTGGGTTGGAAAAGTCCTTAAGTCATCTAGTTCCAACTCCCCTCCCATGGGCAGGTATACTTCCCACTAGACCAGGTTGCTCAAAGCTTTGTCCAGCCTTTCCTTGTGATCCCAAATGTGTGAAGTGATCCCAAAAGTGTAAAGTACCTATTTATAGTACATAACAATATTATTTGACAACAGATTTGCATGTGTGGTGGTTCTGAGAGTTTTCAAGTGCAGGTGTTATATTGACCTCACTGTCTTGCTGTACCCTATCTGTTGGAGTCCTGAGTGAGAGGAAGGCCTCCAGACTTCTGCACAGCTGTGGCCCTCTGTAGCCACAGCTGCTTTGCAGGCCTGTAAAAGAATGCTCTTTCTAAAAAACCTGACTGCAGTGCATTAATTGTTGTAGAGGCTGCAGTAATTACTACTTTAGCATGAGAGCCAGCGTGACTCTTTGCCAAACTGTGCATAGACAAAAGCTATAGTTCCCTTGAAATCCTCTGGGCAAAAGATGGTGCTTCTGTTGGGTAGGAAAACAATGCCTAAAATGAATTAATTGACAGGAGATCTACAGTGGTCTAAGCTAAAGCTGCTGTGCATCATGTGGGCAGCCTTGCCAGCGAGGTCTGAAGGCCGCACTCTAGGAAGCGGCTCTAACTCTTCCATCCCATTTAACATCCCTGTGCCCTCAGTACTGTCTTCTCTGTAGTAGGAGTCTGGTGCATGTGTGGAGGAATTTTGCCTCTGTGTTGACAGCACAAACTTCACAGGAGGAGAAGGGGATGTGCATTTCAAAGGTTGAACGGGAATATTGTTTGCCTGAGGAGTGTCAGGAGCCATTAGAGAGAGTGGAGAAGGCATACCACAGACTTGCTCCTTGGCAGTTTGAGCAGGAAGAAGTTGGGAAATGGAATCACGTAGGTATTGTTTCTTCTTTTGGGGCAGCAAGTCCATGTAAAAGCCACTTCTGCTTTTCTCCTTCAAACGTCTGGGGAAATAAGGAGCTGAAAGTTTCTTAAGAAGAGGAGTGAAGGGCCACAAACATCTGACCCTCATTCCAGTTGGGAGGCTCAGTTTCCTTTTGTTTTGTTTTTTTTTTTTTTATTTTATTACAATTTATTTTCTTATTCCTCATTTTATGAATGTAGTCTGAAAAAAGAAAGGGTGAGCCTGAATGACTGTTCTACATACATATTTCTGTTGTCTTATATGATTAAGTACAAAGAAATCTTTACAAGCGCATCTAATAGTTGTCTTCCCCATGTTTTTAACTTTTTGCACCCACTTCACCTAGGAACTAGGTTTTAAAAAAAGATCTGAGTAGTCTTTCAAAAGGTTAGGAATCCTTAATGTATTTCCCTCATAGTCAAAAGTGGTGGATTCATTTACTGA